ATGCTGGAGGGCATGTGGGATAAAGGAAACCTTATTCACTGTTGTTGAGAGAACAGCCTGATTCAATCACTGTGCAGTATGGATATTCCCCCAAAAGCTCACATTAGTGGTCTCCTTTGACCCAGCTATTCCTCTTCTGGGTATCCAGAAGAAAAAATATTATACCACAGTGAGACATGTGCACCAATGTTTATATCAGCACAATTTGTTATAGCTAAACCCTGGAAGAAACCCAAAGACACATCAGTCGAGGAATGAATAAAAAAAGATGTGCTCTTCTTTCAATGGAGTATCATTCAGTCATGAAAAGTATAACTGTGTCTTTCATAGGCAAATGGATACAACTGGAGACCTTACTCATAAATGAAATAAATCAGACTCACATGTGTGAATACCATATCATATTCCTAGTGTGAGGAACAGAAAGAGTGTAATGCACAATAGAGAACATAAAAAGGGAAGAAATTATTCAAAAGTAAAAAGAAACTCAGAGGGGAAGAGGGTGAAAGAAGGAAGTGAAAAGGAAAAAAAATAAAGACAAGTATACTATTAGTTTTTATGAGTTCACTGAAAAGAAAGGTTTGTGCTTTTTTTTAATCTTATTTATTTATTTGGTACAGGGTCTCACTACACAACTTGGACTTGTAGGGGTCCTCCTGTCTCAGTCTCCACAGCGCTGGGATTACAGGCATATGCCACCATGTCTGGTTTGGGAGCATGCACAGGATGTAGTACCAGGGATCATACCTGGGTCCTTGTGCTTGCCAGGCAGGTGCTTAGACCACCAAGTTGTCTCCCCAGCCCTCGTGCTAATATTGCTCAGAGAAATTTCATTTATTTATTTATTTATTGGGAAGGGTCTAGAGGGTGTTGAGGATCTCACTACTAGATCGGATTCGTAGTGATCCTCCTGTTTACAGCCTCCCAAGAGCTGGAATTCCAGGCGCATGCCACCATGCCCAGGCTCCACTGCCATCTCAGGGCCCCCCAAGGGTGAGGTCGGCAGAGCAGGCCTGGTGATCACACCCTGGCCCCTGTGCCTGTTTGCAGGCACTTTCATCCACTGAGTTATTTGGCCAACACTTGTTCGGAGAAATTTTAAAGCCATAACTTGTATGCTGATTAATTATTTTAAAGATATCAATTCTCAATGTATTAAGTATTGTTCTCTTATTACTTTGTTATTAAAAGTTGTTTTAATTTTTTCCATAAAATAAAAATGGAATATTCTTGTGGTAAATGTGCTTACTGTACTGAGTCACAGTGGACTCCAGATGCAGAGAAAAGCAAGTTTATTAGCCAGCGACAGTAGACACCTAGTTCATGACCAAGCACTGAACCTGAAGGGTAGGAAGGGAGGCTATATAGGCAGTTCTAGTTCCAGGTCTAGGGGTTGCTGATATGATTTGATGTAGCTATAGAAATACTCCTACAAAGCATGGGCTTAGCTTGTGACAAAGGAACAATGGTGTTTTACATTTTACATAGGGAATGAGCAGTCTTATGACAAATTACGGTATTGGGTTAGGTAACTATGACCCTATTTACAAGAAGCAAACTTAGGGAAACAGAAACTTAAATTCTAAGATGATGCCCAAGTGTAACATGGTGTTGATTTTGTTCAATTAGGTTGCAGACATGTTGATTCCTGAGTGTTTTTAATTTTTCTGTCTATCTATCTATCCATCTATCCACTGTTTTTACTGCTGAAATTGAATTATATTCTTTGCTATTATGAAATATGAAGAACTATCTAAAAGGGGAATTAGGGATTTACTAAAAAAGTAACATGTGTTATGTGTGCAAGGCAGGTTAATGAAGTAAGTAGAAATCACGAAGAGGTGTGGGTGGACACCTGCCCTCCAGGCTCAGAGAATCAGCCATCCTGAGGTCCTGATTTCTACAAAGTTGATTTGTCAGAATATGTCACCTGGGACTAGAATCATATAAACATTTTTGGTCTAATGAGGAGCTTTGGATATTAAGCCCTGAGGATTAGGTACTGTAAGTGTTGGCCAGTGAATGTCTTACCCCAAAGTGCTCAGTCAGGTAGCAACACCTGTGCTTTTTCATCGTGATGATCCTGATTGGTCCAAATTCCACTGACTGAGTCCACAGACCTTACTTTCCTGAACCAGGTTTTGTGTTCTGTACATTCAGGTGAGATGATGGACAGTATTCTCAGCAAAGGCAATCAGGTAAACTCGAGTCTCTTTCTCAGTTTTGAGCTGTATCTAAGGGAAGGGTCTTGCTTCAATTTTATCCCAGGGAAGCCATCATTAAGGTGCAAGCAGTAGTACTCTGTTGTGAGAGGACAAATTTGTGACTTTTATAGATAAATGATTGCAGCTCAAGGCTGTGCTCATAAGTGAAAAAAATCAGACTCAACTGAGTAAACATCAAATTGTCTCACTAGTGTGAAAGAAAAAATAAGACCAAAAACAGATATTGTGAATTGGAAGGAAACTGTTTATAAAGGACAGACAAATTGCAATGGGTGAAAGGAGAAAGAAAGGAAAAGAAAAGAAAAAATATATATGCAAGATAATTAAGATAGCTATACTATTAAAAGTAAAAAAATAGTAATACTGCTACTTTTTCTTAGTTAATTGAAAAGACAGGTTTGTGCTGATATTGTTTGGATGATGTTTCATCCATAACTTCAACTCTGAGTAACTACTTTTAAGATAACAATACCCAATGTATTGATTATTGTTACTCTCCTTTTATCTTGTTTTGAAATTCTACTTTATTTTTATCTCTCTAAAATAAAAAGTGCATGCATTAGATGACATGTAGTAGATGCCTCTTGAGCCTGCTTGATTTATGTTTTCTTCACATATTCTCATTTATGTGTTCACCATTAACCACCCAGCTCTCTCTCTCTGAAAGACCCCTGATCTCTCTGCACAGCAGCAGGAATCTGTTCTATTTTATGTGTTTCATAAAATATTCTCATGTGTATTTGAATACATTTTTTGGTGATAGAGTGTATGGATTGGTTTATTACCTGTTCCAACAAAGTAGCAGGCTGGATGGCATAATAACAGAAATTTATTTTGTCTCAGTTCTCGAGGACAAAGTTGAACAATTAGTACATAGGGAGAGTTGGTTTTTTCTGAGTTCTCTCCTTGGGCTGTGGATGGCTACCTTGACTCAGTGTACTCCTGTGGACTAACCTCTGTGTGTGTTTGTGTCCTAATGTTCTCTTTTTAAAAATAAACCTAAGCATATTGGATTGGGCGGCACTGTCATAGCCACACTCTTAATTAAATAATAGCATTTTCAAGGCATGTTTACCTTTATTTCTGTCCCTAATAAAGTCAATCTATCTATCTATCTATCTATCTATCTATCTATCTATCTATCTATCTATCTATCTATCTATCCATCTATCTACCTACCTATCTATCTATAATGGAGTTAATAATGCCTAATATTCAGATTTATAATTATTTACTTTTCATTTTTATTATTATATATTTGAAGTACATAATGACTCCATTCACACTGGGAAGTTGGTATATGTACAAAACTCTCCAAAGATAGAACCCCAAGTGCAGTCATGTTCCATCATTTCAGGGCTGAGGATCTGAGCATTTGAATGTTGAAGGAGACAGAGTTCATCCCAGTATGCTCTCTTCCTATCTTCTTCCACATGCTGATTCTATGTTCATCATTTAAAAATGCAGGTGCCTGAAACTTTGAAGTACGTAAGTCTCATATGACACCAGATGATAATCTCTGTCATAGCTGCTTTTTCCCTGAGAAGAAGGTCATTGCTTTCTGGGGACCCATCAGATAGGACACTTGTGATTGTCTCAGCCTGTTATTTTATAAATGTCTGTCTTCTAAACATCAACTGTATTTTTCAACTGTTTCTGCACGAGTGTCTGTATTTTATTCTTTCTGTCACTAAGATATTGTTCAGCATTTTTTTTTACTTAATGATAGGCTACCTACCTCGTTAAGAGAATTTCCCTTAGGATTAAACAGCACATGTCATTCATATTGTTACCCAGTTTCTTGTAGAGTTAATTGCTGAGTCATATTGCTTTAAGTTCTGTTTGCAGTCCAGAGTTTTATGACCTTCTCTTTTGTAAGTAATATTTGCTATTCTTTGTTCATGGCCATCTGGATGAATGTTCTCTTCCTGCATGAATTAATGGGGAAGAGAGGGTTCACCAACAATGAGGGTATAACTAAGGAATATGTTCAGGAAAAATTTTTCAGGGGAAAATATAACAATTTCATGACCATTTGGGAATGCTAATTGTGCACTCTTCAAAGACTTTAACACAGATTCCTCAAGAAAGTTAACTTAGCTGTCAGTCAGTCTTGCTCCGACCCAGTCTTTTCCAAAGACCATATATTTTGTTTTTATGCAATGCCCTCTTAGGTCTATGACAATGAAACATTAATTGATTCATGTGTGATTTGAGAAACCCTTCACCTGAGGTGTGAAAAGTTTGGAGACCAGTATTCAGGAAACAGATTTGATAAATTCATGCATACCTTTCTTCTGGTGTGAAGGTATAGAATATCCGTGTCTTATTTTTGTTAAGATATCATCAGTGGGCACAATAAATGAAAAAATACTGGTGATAAATAAAGGTTGCAAAATGTAAAGGACAGAGAAGAGGGATGGAGAGAGAAAATAAAAACAAATATTTACATATTCATTTGAATCAAGCATAAATGCAATTTTTGTTTAAAGCTCCAGTTCTCTGTATCTTTGTGTGTGTTTGTGTGTGTATGTGCATGTGCGTGCGTGCATGCCTGCACATGTGTGTGGTACCAGGAAAAAAACTTTAGTTCTCAATTCTTAGAGATTTCAGATTCAGCTGGAGCATTTATTAAAACATACACTGCTGGTCCACATTGCCAGAGCTTATCAGTAGTAAGCAGAAAAGGGTGTCAAGAGCTTTTAAACCTACCGTTACCAGGTGCTGCTTTCTCTTGTATAGGAAGCATTCATTTCACAATTTTGCCACATCTTTTCTGCAAGTCTTACCACCAATATGGAGCTTATAAACCAAACAACTATCTCAAAATTCATTCTCTTGGGACTGACAGACGATCCAAAACTGCAGCCCTTTGTCTTCAGCCTGTTCCTGTCCCTGTACCTGTTCACAGTGCTTGGGAACCTGCTCATCATCCTGACCGTCAGCTCTGATGCCCACCTCCACACCCCCATGTACTTCTTTCTCTCCAACCTGTCCCTCACTGACATCTGTATCAGCACCACCACAATCCCAAAGATGCTGGTGAACATTCAAACACAGGATCATAGCATCACTTACCCAGGCTGCCTCTCCCAGGTGAGTTTCGTGTTGATTTTTGGTGGCTTGGAAAATTGTCTCCTTGCAGTGATGTCCTATGACCGCTATGTGGCCATTTGCCACCCACTTAGGTACACAGTCATTATGAACCCCCGGTATTGTATCCTGCTGGTTCTACTCTCACTGCTCATTACTATCATGAATGCCCTGCCCCACAGTTTGATGATGCTGCGACTGTCCTTCTGCACAGACCCGGAAATTCCCCACTTCTTCTGTGAACTTGCTCACGTCATCAAACTCTCCTGCTCTGATACCTTCATCAATTCTCTGCTGATGCATTTAGGGACCAGCGTATTTGCTGGTGTTCCTTTCTGTGGGATTATTTTTTCCTATACTCAAATTTTCTCTTCCATTATGAAGATCCTATCAGTGGGTGGAAGTCACAAAGCTTTTTCCACCTGTGGATCTCACCTCTCAGTGGTGTCCTTGTTCTACACAACAGCTTTTACAGTGTACATGAGTTCTGCTGTAACAGACTCTCCCACTAAGAATGTAGTAGCTTCAATGATGTACATTGTGATTCCTCAAATGCTGAACCCCTTTATCTACAGTCTGAGGAATAAGGAAATGAAGGAATCCTTGATACATCTCATCACTGGAAAATCTTCTTTTCTCTGATTGTCTGAACTGCTTAGAGCTTGAGTTTCTAGTATGGGTTAAAAATGACAGAAATAGTGATGGACCAGAAGGTCGATTCTCCTGTCAATGTATTCTTTCAAAAATGGTCACATAATATGAAGCCTAAATGCATTTTAACATAGGTTACAATCTGAATGCATGTTTTACTCTTCATCATTTTTAATATCTTTACCCTCCCTCCTCACTTCATTTCTTTTCTGGATCCGTTTAACCATCTTCAAGTTTTTCTTCTTTTTTTCTACTACCTCTCCGTTGTTCCATGGGCTCATTCATTTATTTATATTTTTGGGTTCTTGTGGAAAAGAAATCATACAATTTTTAGTTTGTTGTATCTGACTTATTTCACTTAGTGCTACATTCTCAAATCTCATCTATTTTCCTCTCAATTACCTGATTTTATTCTTTTTTTATGGTCGAATAACGTTCTGTTTTGTGTATGCATCACATTGTCTTTACCCACTTATCTGTTAATGTGCATTTGAGCTGCTCCTTACTGTGACTTGGGCTTTTGTAGATATGGCTGTATAAAAAGAGAAATTGAGTTAATGCAATGAGTTTCTACATGTCAGTCGGTTATATATTTGTCCAAATAAGAAAATAATTTCAAGGCCGGGGAGATGGCTCAGTAGAATAAGCACTTCCCTGGTAAGTGCAAGGACCTGAGTTCGATCCCCAGTTCCTCCAAAAAAAGCTATTTCATTGAAATTGAATGCATTATTTCTCCTGTATATATGACTTTACAAGTTATCACATGTTTGCTTTTTGATTTTAATAAAGTTTAAAGGTAATGAATTAACTCTATATCTTGATTATGATTTTCATCATTGTACTTATGAGGTTTTATCATATTTTGAAGTTTTGTAACAACATCCATATATTTTAATCTCTCTCTCTCTCTTTCTCTCTCTCTCCCCTCCCCTTCCCTCCTCTCTCCTCTCCTTTCTCCTCCTTACCTCTCACTTTTGCTCTCTTATTATTTATTGTTAACATCTCTTATTATTTATTTATTTTTATCATTTAAAGAGCATTGTATGGTGGTCTACTCTGGTGCAAGTTTTCAGAAGGGAAAAGATGAGACAAGGATGACACTTCTATTTCTTTTTTAAAAATTTTATTTATTTTTTATTAATTTTACTTAGAAACAAAGAGTGATGAGAAAGTTTCAAAACGTATTAGTAGGATAGGTGCAATAATTAATACATTGCTTATTGTTGCCTTTGTCGCAGTTATTCATAGTACGAGATGTAGACATGATATCTTGTCCAACCAATATTAGTACAAATATTTCTTCTCATCAAATTAAGGGAAAGTAGCTCTATATCTATCCTAACTGTTTCGTATATATAGATATAGATCTTTTATTTCTATTCTAGAACTACTCTACAGGTCATCTAGGGGGTGGTATACGGTATAATTGAAAGTCTGGTGTACTGACTTTAAAGGTACATAAATTTCTCCTTACTGTAAAACAAAATCAAAAGTGCTTTCAGCCCTCTCTGCATGCTCTTGCTACTGTCTCATTCTCATTATCTTTAGTTATAAATGTCATCCCAGTAACCTCTATTCCCACTCTGATTGGTCTCACATACTTGTATGAGGTATATGTCTGACTACTCATTGGCAAGTTCACAGTTGCCCTCACAAATCACCATTCTAGGTTTTACAGCTGACTATAGTTTATTGACTTCAGTTTTTTGGTAAAACACATAATATTGCAGATCCACATCCACATCCCAAGACAACTATTAGCTTGGTTAAATTTTCCCTTGAAGGCTTTTCTTAAACATTTAAGAGTTCTTATTTCAGTCATGGATATAGGCATTAATCAATTCTTGATTTAAGCCATATTGCTAAAATTCAGAAGACATTCTATGCGAAATAGTGAGACTGGTGATTTGACTTTTTTTTTTTTTTTTTTTTTTTTGTTACCCGGGATTGAATGGGACCTTGCACTTTCCAGGCAGACACTTAGGCTGCTGAGCTATCTCCCCGGCTCAGCAGGTTTGATTATTAATAGATACAAAAATCAACTCTAAATGACTTATATGCCTAAATTTAAATTGCAAAGCTATGAAAATACCAGAAGAAAACCTTGAAATTCTTTACAACATTGTCCTGGGTGATGATTTTTAAATTTGTCTCCAAAATGAAGAAACTACAAATCAAAACATGATAAATCAGACACATCAAACTAAGATGTTTCAGAATGGAAAAGGAAGTAATCACTACAAATAACAGACAAGTCATACAATGGGTGGTAGTAGGTGCCAACTACACATATGACAAAAGGTCATTCCAGGGTGCATACCAGCGCAAATAACACAAATTAAAAATTCAACAGAAAATTTGCTAAAATTCATAAAGAAGGATAAATTTCAGACATTTCTAGCAAATGGATGCAATTTGAGACTGTACTTCTAAGTGAAACAATTCAGACACAGGAAGATTCAACATGTGTTAAAAGAGGAGGAGCTACGTTGGATCTACTCAGAGAAAATCAACTAAAAACACAGGTAATACACAGACTGGCAGAATGGATGAAGAAGGAAAATCCAACCATATGCTGCACTGAAAAAACACACTTAACTTAAAAAGAAAATAATAGGCTGGAAATCACAGGTTGCAAAACAGTAGTCAACGTGACAATAATATAGAAAAAATAATGACACATATTCTATTTGCAGACAATGTGAACTTCAAGTCAAGACACATCAAAAGCGACAAAGAAAGTCACTACATACTTGTTCAGGGAACACTCCAACAAGAAGAGATAACAATAATAAATGCATGTGTGGCAAATATGGGTACACACAGCTACAAATAACAGTAACAGTCATGAAAAATCAAGTAAGCTATAACAATTATAATGGGAGTCCTTAATACCCAACTTTCACTACTAGATAGATTAGCCAGACCCCCCAAAAAAAATCAACAAAGAAATATCAGAAGTAAAGCAAATTTATGAATAAATTTTCCTAGAACATGTCTACAAATGTTCCAACAAACAAAATGAACATACATATTCTTCTCAGTTGAACTTCTATGAATATTTCCCAAGATAGCACATACATGGGCCACAGAATATGCTTAAGTAAATACAAAGGAATTTGCATTATTCCATGTATATTATCAAACCATAGTCCAAAGAAAATGGAAATCAATGGTAAAATAAACTACTAAAATTATATAAACACCTGGAAATTAAAGAATATCTCCCCAAAAATGGATAACACATTACGTTTTAAGAGAAATTAGACATTTTCCACAATTACATGATAATGCAAATACAACGTATCAGAATTTATGGGATGCGATGAAAAAATACTAAAAGGGAAATTTATAGTGGAAATTCTCATCCCAGGAAGGCAGAACAAGTTCAAATACACAACCTAATGTTGAGCCTCAAACTTCTGGAAAAAGAATAACAATAAAACCCAAAGTTTGCAAAAGTCACAGCAGAAATTAATTCAGTAAAAATTTAGAAAGTTATATAAAAATGAATAAACCGAGCAGTTGATTCTTTGAAAAACTAAATGAAATTGATAAGCCCTTATCAAACTTCATCAAAAAGAAGAAAGAAAAATTCAAATTCAAACAGTTGGGAATGAAAAGAAGGAAATTACAATGGAAAAGGAAGAAATCTAAGATCATTAATACATACTCCAAGAACCTGTACTCTAATATGAAGCAAAATATACAAGAAATGGACAGACACCTAGGAACATGTGAATTACTGAAAGAGAATCAAGAAGATACATATATTCTGAGTAACCTGAGATTAGTCAATGGAAAGGAAAATGTATTTAAAAATTTACCGAATAACAAAACTCCATGTCCTGATGGGTTCATTGATGAATTCCTCAAGAAATTTCCAGATCTAACATCATTACTTCTCAAAATCTTTAACTAAAGTGAAAGGGAAATAGTAATTCCCAAACGATTCCTGGAAGCAAGTATTACACTGATACCAAAACAAGAGAAAGATCAAACCAGAAAAGTACAAGCCAATCTCCTTAGTGAACATAGTCACAAAAATTCTCAATAACTACCCGAGTACGTCAGGTGCCTCGTTCCTGACCCCTACTTGGTGGGATCAGGTTCCCGCAGTCACAGCAGAACCCTCCCTCAGACAAACACAATGGACAGACAGGATTAGTGGGGTGGAGAAGTCTGAGACAACATGAATAACACAAGCCAGCGGGTGGTAAGTTAATTTACAAGGGATAAAGAATTTCACTTAACAAAATAATATGAATTTCACAGTATGTGTTGTAATGCATAGCATTGTCTTCCAACCAGTTATTCATATCACCAGATATATGCATGTAAATCTGGAAGAAGAAAGAAAAAAAAAGGGGCTGGAGAGATGGCTCAGTGGAATAAGCACTTTCCTGGCAAGCGCAAGGGTCTGAGTTCAATCCCCAGTTCTGCCAAAAAATAAATAAATAAACAAAGTAACAAGAATACTAAATTGATACATCTAAAGTACACCAAAACAAAAGAAAAAAAAAAGAAATGTATAAGAAATTAAGAAGATAAAAATTACAAACAATTGAAAAAAGGCCACAAAACAAACTAAATTAATTGCTTCTTTCCATAGACCAGCAAAAATGCACAGTACAGTTGTCCAAGCCAACCTGCTTACATACATAGATAAATCTCTTTCCCTCACTTCCCCTCCTGTCCTTCTCCTCAACTCAGTAACTTTTTCCTTTTGAATAAGTTCATTGTCTTTTCGCAGTATCTGTTGTATCCTTCAGATTTCATTTTTTGCTACATTCTTTTGCTTTCAAGGTCTCACTTTAAAAAGACAGTATGATGTTTTCACAGGTGGATCTCATTTACTGCACTTAAGAAATTAAAATGGCAAGTAAATATATGAAAAAATGTTCAGCATCATTGGTCATTCAAGAAATGCAAATTCAAACAACACTAAGATTCTGTCTCACCCCAGAAAAAGTGGCTACCATCAGGAAGTT